TACCTCTCTGGGACAGAGACAGAGTCGTGTTATCAACCCGCAGCATTCGCAGACATAATATGTAACGACGGAATCCGCTCTCAGTGACATTCAGGGACGGAAGCGGGGATAAACTCCTCAGCAGTGGGTGAAACTGAGCGGCAGAACAAAAGTACACAAAATAAAATTGAGCAAGGTATGAGATCCCACCACATTGAGTCAGGCTACTCATAGGAAAGCAGCAAAATAGGGACTCAGTAGACTCTCATAGTCGGAGAGGAGGGAGAAAACTGCTGGATACTGCAGACATAACGCTGAACACAAGCTTTAAGATCCACTGAACGAAAGTAAGTAGGTGAGAAACAAACCCAAGCATGATGCAGGATTCAAATACAATCCAAGAAAAGTGGATGTGTGGGATCTCAAATACACTACCTTACACTATGAGTAAAAACCACACTGAACGTCAGGAAGGTCTACAGGTGAGGGCATACATTGCACCTGCCTTTTGACATTTTGACAATTTTCTCCAGGCCGAAAAGCAGCAAAAGATGTTGACATCAGAGTAGTCTGAGTCTACGGACAGTCCTAAACCTAAATATAGGGCCATTCAATATAGAGCAGCTAAAAATTAGGGCACAAAGGGCTGTTTGAATAGATAAAACACAAAGTGGATTGTATTTCATATGACATGTGTGCCTTAATATAGTCGACGGACCTTCTGGTTGCTTGTCTGCATGTGCGTTTTAATGGTTGACATCATTAAGGAAGCAAACGTACGGTTGAAGTCTTCGGAGTCGAATGCTTAGCGACTTGAGTCTGAATTACCAGCACCGTTTGCCCCGTTGCTTGTGCTGAGGAGAGGAGCAGAGAAAATCTCAACGTACAGTATGATTCACCACAACAAAGTGTTGGGGAGGGGAGGGAGGAGAGGGAGGGGGGGGCGGTGATGTCACTGGTGGTTGTGGGGAGTCATCTGTGAGTCAGAGAGGAAAAAGGAGGAGATGAAGGTGGAAGTTGATGGTGATGAGGAGGAGGGAGAAGAGGATGTGGAAGAGAGGTGTTAAAAAAAAACAAAAGAGGCGCACACACACACACACACACACACAGGGGAGGTGGGGTACCTGCTGAGTGTGACCCATGGTAACAGGCAAATCTGGCCTGTGGATGACTCACCGCGGCTTTACCAGCCCCCCCCTGCGCGCGCATGCAAACACAAAAACGCACGCGTGATAACACGCCGCCGCACACGCACGCCTAAAGCCGGTTTATGGCATCAGGAGCATGTGCGCCGCCCAGCCTAAACGCACCTCACTCGCATGTGGACAAGCGCTTCTACGCAAACCCGAGGCTCATAAAGTGCAGGGGCAGGAGAGGGGAGGGTCAGGATGACTCACACTTCAATGATAACACCCCCCCCTACCCCCCACCCAATCCTCTCCCTCCCTCTCTCTCTCTCACACACACACACTGAAGATGAAGAAGGACATATCATTTGGATGCAACCCACATCCTCCCCACATCCTGGGAACCTCCCATCTGAAACTCAGACTGACAGCGGGAGGCTCCGGCTGACTGCAGTTTGTCTCAAGGTGATGGGAGTTCTCTGGCAGGAATCTCTGACTTTAAAATAAACGAGGACTTTGCTAAAAAAAAAATTTGAAGTGTTCATCTCTGCCCGGCTCTCATCTTTCTGCTTTGTCGCAGAAGTGCTCGCCTGTTTATTTATGCAGTTGAGAAACAGGTTTGGATGGGAGTGGGTATTATTTCCATGGTACAAATCACTCTAGTTATGCTATCTCGCCCCAGAATGTCATATTTAAAGCAGGCACGGGGAGGATGAACACGTCACGGCCGGCTTCCTATTCAGACAGGAACATTCATCAGAACTAAGAGTTAGCTATCTGCTGACTGCTGTAGATATAGATAATAATTCCATTATGGCCTGTTACAGATCCCTGTCATTTGGTGATATGCGTTTTGTTTCTGTGGCCGCACTCGTCATAAAACTGACAGTGGATTTTGTGAGCGAGATAGATAAGTAGAAAAGCACTCCTAAAATAACTTCCTTCCATTTTTCTTATAGTTGATGAGCTGCTTTTGAACTTGATGGAAGTAATGTGCTTCCAGAAAATTGGCAGAGGAGCTTGTTTATCCCTCCCTTACATCACTGCTTCTTTTACCGAGACGCACAGTCCCCTGCTAGCGGCTGGTGAACGGCCAAAGCCGAGGAAAAAGTTTAAAAGTACGACTTCACACTACCTCATTAGTCATTCGAGAATAAAGCGTGAGCCATTTAAACTGATTTCATATGTTGTTGTGCACTGATTAAACAGTACAGTAAAAGTCAACCACCGCACTTCTAACTGGATTTGTTAGCCTCGCTCTGAGCCAAGTTGGCAAGATCCGCTCCCCATGCTGAGCTATCCAGTTGTTTAATACATTTTTTTTTTTTTTAAAACACACAAAACTCTTAACAAAGTTGTGCATTATTTGAGCAGATCTGCTTGAGCTGTCCTGTCTCCCGTCTGTCTCAACACGGCAGGCTGCCCGTAAAGCGAATAAATCTGTATTTGCACAAAAAAAGGTCTACTTAACAGAAGCCAGAAAAGTTAAAGCATGGCTTTCTGGAAAGATGGCTCACTCCCACGCTCTGTAAATCATAAATGCTCCTCTTATCTTCTGATAGCTAAAACATGCAAGCATCGCAGGCACTTGGCGAGCATGCACAATTCCCATCTATTACACCGAGAAGCGCTCGGGTTTGTGTAAATCGAGGGCAGCTGTCAAGACGGGACGGGCCTTGGCACAATGGAAGGGTTTTACGAATGACATCTGGATAACGAGAACACCTGCACCGGGTGACCCTGCGGGTGCAGAGGAAGGATGACGTCACAAACCCCTTTTTCAAGTGAACCCAGGAAGGGTTCGCGTAATTTTCTAGCTCGTGTGCTTCGCTCGGCTTTCCAGCTGAAATTCTGTGAACACTTAAACCAGCTGCACCTGGCAAAGGGAAGTTTGTTTACCCGAGGTCATCTGGTGACGTGTTGTGATCGGTGTTGAAGGTCTGGTGGCTGACCTTTGGCTTTTTTCCTCTTCTTTTTTTCCCCCTCTACTGCTGACCATTTGCTCTGTTAAACCTGTCAAAGTGAACATTTGACAATATTTGACTTATGGAGTCAAAACTGATTAAATTCTGTATCATTTCAATTACTCCATGACATCAGTCAATCGGCTGATAACTTTTACACTTCTCTACATATACTCCATTTTAAAAAAAAGAACCGACTTTACCCAAAAACAATTATTTCTATTTTCTAATCCTATTTCAAACCGTCCAGCTATGACTTATAGGAGAATATTCAAGGGTCACCTGATGCACCAGGAGGATGGTATTCACTCGTGGAGGGGGTGATGCGACGAGAAGAGCGTTAGTGTGACACTAAAAGTTTCCAGTGAGGTTAAAGACTGTTTCAGTTTGGTGTGACATGTCTTCCAGGTGGGGTGACCTGCACTTCCTGTTCAACTGCACAGCAAAACACAGCTGACATGTGTAATTAGTAGCCACAGTCAGTAAATCACCTCCATTCTTGCACACACACACACACACACGCACACAAGTCCCACGTGTTAAATTTAGCACAGCTCTGCCTCATGAGACTCCATGATCTTAACCTTTCCCAGATTGCCATAAGGCCACCTGATTGAGGTCTAATTCAGATTTGACTTGATCAAAATGTGGGAAAATCAATGTGGGAGAATAGTGACACTGATGTCTCACTATTTATCCCCAAGCTCTGTGGATTTCAACATAGGGAGGAGAAAATAGGAGTTAGATAACCCTCAAATAGGTCTTTTAATTCTCCATTCAAAGGTCACGTAGTTAAGAACTTTTTTTTCTAGCAAACTGGGCATTAGGAATAACATGTGGTATTTAAACTAGCAACTTATCTTCCATATTTATATATAGCTTCCAAAAAGTTTTCATCTTCAGGGATTTTTAGCTCATGTTCTGAACATCTAACTTCCATTCAAATTAAGAGGTTAATCATGGTGAAATTAAGGAAAAGGTCATCAAAGAAGTGTTATTAGACGTAGTGTCTTTGTTTGTCTCCTTTAGGTGGGGACTCCAGAACTCCTCTGGCACCACAAATCTCTTTCCTCAATGGAAACAAAACAAAGTGTGCCTGAAACAGGGTGTCAGAATTATTTATTTGACCAAAAGTGTCCTGTTGCACATCTCAGTCCAGTGGCAGACCATCAACCCACAGCCTATCCCAGAAAGCTCTGCTCTCAAATAGCCTGAACGTTCCCTGCTGGGTTTTCAGCTGCTGATACACACATATAAGACAAGAGGAAAACAGCGAAAGCATGGATAATTCATAAATACACAGGGAAATGTTATTTAGGAGTAAACACACTCCTGAGCTTAACTATAAGACATCAGCCCCTGAACCAAAAAAAAAAAAAAAACTAGCTTCCCTTTTAATCTGTTCCTATTTGGAAATGTTTACAGTTTAACAAGGAAATAAGAGCTCTTGGAGAAGGTAAAAGCACATTCTACTGAATTTTTTTAGAACAGATTGACTGAATCAACCCAAAATCCATAAACTTCTCCCTGACTCCTGTGCTGAGACACACTTTGCTGTGGAAAAAAAAGAGGAAAGATAACTCAGACAAGCCTGCCCTCTGGTGGCTTGAAAAGATAAACAAGGGAAAGAAGTGAATGCAGTTGCCATCAACAAGGAATATATTTGTAAGGCATTCATTTAAACATTACACATTTAACTGTATAAAGCACTTCATAGTTCACTACTAACAACTGAATGGTTGGACTGATTTCTTAGTATACACTGTTTCATACCAAAAGGGGACGACAGATGCCTGATTTTCCCAAAATGTGTGTCGAGCAACTGGATAAAAATACTGTTTTACCTCTCTGATTGGACAACAGACAGTGCGCCTCACAAAAAAAAAAAAAAGGAATAAGAAAACAAAATGGAGACCCGTAGGCAGCGGGCTCAGTAGATGAAGAGGACGCGGGTGCGGGGCAGAGTAGAGAAGGTGTCTGCCATCTTGCGGATTCTGGCATAATTGATGAATCCTCGGAGGAAGAGTAAGAAGCCTGAGGAGTACAGCAAGGGAATCTTCATTTAGAAGGATAGTTTCAGAAGTTAAGTGGTCATTTTACACAGCGACAACATAAGATCTGTCACAACATTTCATTGAGAAATCCAGATCTTTTTTAAGCTAAAACGCACGGGTGTACGTTCGGCATTTTTGGAACATATCATCCAGCCTGTTGTGATTATTTTGCTGAGTCTAGAGAGGATTTGACGCGTCGACAGGGAGCTCGGCTGAGAGGGCTCAGACGCACCAGAGTCAGGACCGAGGCCTGTGATTCATTTGGATTCAGGGGTTTGCCACTTACCCAGCACCAGGAACACCCACCACAGCCAGTACTGTCCATCAAAGTAGCCAGGGAAGTATGTGGAGAACTGGAAGCCAAACAGAAACCACTGGTTAAAATAACTACGGCCTGTGCTGGTTTAACTCCAAGCAGTCTGGAATTGTATAAGTGAATGAAGATGACAGTACTACCCCCCCCGCCCCCGAGATCTTTGCGGAAACGGTCCGATGTCAATAAGACAGTCGTGAGAGAGATGACATTTTAAAAACCACAGCATTGTTTGGGGTTTTTGATTTGATTGAGAGTACATGAAACCACATTTGACGCGTTTCCATGTGTGATGCTGGCATTTGTGTCATGTACCCTGACTATGAGGATCCATTTGATGAGGGAGAGGCCGAAGCCTGAGATGGCCCCGTAGCGTCCAGCTGCTGAGGTGGTCAGGCAGAAGGACAGGAAGAAGCCGATCCAGTTGAACAGGAATGCCACTGGAAATGCAGAGGCGGAGGGAAAAAAAGAGTCAGTGACAGGACTGTAGTGATAGCAAACAACTCTAAGAATGGTCAGAGGCACGGAATTAGTGCTACAGAGATGAGTTGGAAATGAAAAGAGCTGGTAACTGACTGAAGAAAGTGAGCATGAAGATCCCATCGTTTCCTATCCTCAGCTGATCGGCATCTTCAAAGTCATCTCTGGTTACAAAGTCCTCATCCTTGATGGAATAAGTGACAGAGAGAAAGAAAAGATTAATCACCAGACAAAAGAAAGACATTCAAGACGACGCAGAAAAGGTGGAAGGTGGCAGAGGCTCTCAGCTTTACATTGAAAATATGAGATGCAGCTCCAGCCAAATGACAGCTCGACGTAATGGTGCCGAAAATGTTTTGGTTCAGCTGACTCATAGTGGAGTGTTGTGAAAGATGGTGGAAAAAAAAAAAACAAGCCTCGCTGAAAAGGATGTACACTACTGACCGACAAATGGAAACAGCACAACACGGGTTCGTAAAAATAATAATAAAACAGACCTCTGTCAAGTTCCAAAAAGAGATCAGCAGAACGTAGTGGATCTTTTTTTTCTTTAAATGCTCAACTAAAAGGTACTCTAGCACTACTCAAAAGCACGAGGGGTGGGGTAATGGGTGAAATGTGGGTGCATTTGTGCTTTCACCAAGCTAGGACCAATTACACTTCCTCTCATGACACACACTCTGCTCCGAGTTACCTCCAGTGAACTGCGAATAACATCATCAAAAGTCTCCAGACGTTCTCTGTGCTGAGGCTGCTGCTGAGCCCAAAGGCAACGTGTGGCAGAGAAAACAACACCGACAGTTAAACCAAAAACAACAACAAAAGCCACACAAATACAGAACATCTGCTCTTCCGTGCTTTAAATGATTGCTCAGTGAGATTATCATAACATGTACCCATGTGTTGTACTCATATCCTCCCACCATGCTCCATGCTGGTCCTTTCACTCTCTGTAGTTTAGAGAAACTTGAGTTTTCTAACCACAACTATTTCAGAAGCTGGTCAACATGGGGATTAAATGTGAATAAGAGCAACTTCATTGAGAATGTGGCAGCTTAAAATACAGAGACCTGCTAGTAGATGGAACTTTGGTGCATGTGCAGAGCACTGTCTTTGCACAAATACTGACTGACACCGTTTTTAGTTCTATTAAGCATACAGGACATGCAAATGGTATAATAAAAAAAAGGAAAAGGTGAACTGGTCAAATGCTGGTCAACCCCTGTAGTTAGCCTGTCAAGACCACCGTGCTCCTCGTTTCCTGTTGCTGTGACAGAAGTAGAGGAAGCACAGCTGGAAAGCATCTGAGCAAGACAGGCTGAATTATTCCATCTGAGCATATTAGTAACAACAGTTCAAATGTAGAAGCTTTTTTTCTTTTAAATAAAGCACTGGAGCCCAGGACAATTACATCAAAAACAGGAGGGGTTTCAGAAAGACTGGAACCACAAAATTTCACTAGCTATATTTTACACAAGGAAGTTTGCAGAAAACATTTTCACTTAGCATTTGTGGAACAGAGTGTTATTTTGATGATTGGGTCTTTCTGAATATTATTGTTTTCTTGTTTTCTGAGCTCCCAGCCACTTTCTGATCACTTCCTGTGATCAGTGAGCAGCAATGCAGCACACTGACCACTAGAGGTCTGAGATGAGCTGCCAGTTTACAATTTGTGGGTCTTTCCTTTAATTCTGCATTTATACTGGTCAATGGACCTTTATAGGTACACTTTGGCCATCGACCGGCTTGTCAAAGATAGGACTTAGTTCAGGCATTGATGGAATTATAACCAGCTTTTAGTTCTGATATGTTACCGTCCAAGTAGATCAAACATTAAACGAGAGAGAACTTTGTTTCACTTACTTGTAAACTATACTATAGCTATACTTAGCTTAGACATGGGTCCAGCTGAAAGAGCAAGTTAATGATCCCATATGACGGTTGTTAAAGGGCCTGTCTCCTTGAGATTCATACTGACTATTTTTCTGATTTAAGTCCAAAGCTCCAAGGAAATGAGATATTTAAAATCTAGAGTGTGTTTGTCATTTCACATCAACCTGTTTGATTTGGTTCAAAGACACAACTCTGGATATTCAGAGCAGAGAGCCCTACTCATTTTAAACACTTTGAAATTTCATATTTTTGTGTTTTCAAAGGGACGCCAGGACATTTTTCTGTGATGTGAAAAAGCAAACGGAGACTCTGGCTTTAAACCAAACACCTGAATACCTAATATCATAATGGAACATCAATTGTGCCCAAAATAAATACATAAGCAAATGACCATCGGAGACTCAGCTACATGGAGAGAAGATAAGGATTTCCGTGTCAGACGTTGTGCACTTCTTGCCTTGCAGCGAACACCGGAAGTGTAGAGAACAACCCAGTCTTTGTGTGCGAATACTGTTCAAAGAATGTCAGCAAGGGGGTGGGAGGACTTACTCTTCCTGTTACCAAGGGAGCAGAGGCCTCAACCTTCGTTCTTTCTGCTTCGTCATAGGAAGGCAGCGTAGTTGCGACGTTGTATGATGGAGGCTTGGGGAAAGCCCCTTCGTCCTTGTAGTCAAAGTAAGCTTAAACACAAAAGGAAACAACACACAGTTATCAACCACAAAGAGATTTCAGGGCTTTTTTTTTTCTTCCAAGAAAGCAATTTAGCGAGAGCTCTGAAATGTTTACATTAACCTGTGAACTGCTTGGTCATCACTTACAGTGAGCAGTGAATGTCTGAATTCAGTGTATTAGATTAGATCAGTCAACTGTACAGTCAATGTGCAGAGTACAAGTAAATGAAAAGCAGTTAGCACCTAATGAAAGGTCAATATTCAGAACTATTAGCATAAAGTGCAGTATCTGGTTCAGTGGACCTTTTCTGGTTTGTTATAACCATTTTCCACAACAGAGTGTATATTACTATTTAACCCCCAATTTCTTGAAGTACTGATAACCCAAAGTAACCACGAAATGGCCACGATTTCTCAGTCCTCAACTCCCACCCGTAACAACACGAATGTCAAACAACCAGGGAAACGTCTGGATTTCGGTTTTTACCAGAGCTGTCCACAGTGATGCTGCTGTACGGAGGTGGAGCATCAGCTGCTACCTCTGGACTCTCCGCTGCATCCTCCTCGTTGGGCAACTGTTAAAAAAGAGGATACAACACTTTGAGCCTGCAAGGCAACTGGCTGCTCTCCATTTGACATGAGTGTAAGCTGACAGTTAAAAAGAAAATGTATAAAACAAGCTAAATAAATTAATAAGGTGCATATCAACCCCTCCTTTTGGCCTATAATGAAATCAGAAAGACTTGAAGTAGCCCCATCCCTTTCAATACAGAACAAGTCAGACCTCTCAGATTGCTATATACATAAACCAGAGATTACATTTTAAAAAGAAACTTCTGGTAGATCCTGTCCTTCAGGTGTCAGTAACACATTGCTGGAAATGGTTAGTCTTTAGCCGGATCACGTGACACTGAAACGGGGGGCAATGATAACATAAACCTGTAAACGCTTCAAATGAGGGAGCAGACAGGCTTGATGGTACATCAACAATAAGTTCAGGCTGGCAAATGTGACGCATAGAAATTTAAAAAGTGGAAAAAAAACGGGGAAGGTTTACTTTCTTTCGAAATACCCGTTACTTCCAGAACACACTTTTTGTGCTCTCTCTATGCCGTCAGAAAGCACCAGGTTTGGAACTAAGCAAATTTAAACGACTGGAGCGGCTCATACGTCAGCTCCTTTCACGTTATAGCAACATTAGCAGACATAATAACTGTATCCTCAGATAACTCCCCGCTAAGAAGGTCAGCCGGGGGACTTAGGAAAGTCTCGCCCTGCTGAGGACTGGTCTCAACACACACACACACACACACTCCTGGATCTCAGCTAGCCAAACTCCAGGATACAGCAGTTAGCTTCAATTTGTCCGCTTTCGCGTTATTTAGCTAACGACGACAACCGGCCGGCTTGAGGTAAACTCGACATTACATTGCTTATAAAAGGATGCAAAACGGCCATGCTGACAACCCTGTACATTATGTGGCAGCTTAGTAAACAGAATATCGCTGCAATGTTTGCCAATGTGAGACGTTAGCCCCTTAGCTAGATGTATTTGACACCACTTAAACTCGTCGCACCTTGACAGGCCATCGCAACGTTAAGAAGACAGTGGCTAAACCTTTTAAACAGAGAGAGCATTCGCGAGGAATGTTACACAAAACTCCGCGCATCTGGGCGGTGTGAGTCTGCGAAGCAATGTTATCAGCAGACGGCTAACTGCTGTTACATCGCCAACATCTTTTCACCAACCTGCTGATATCTGGCGCTCGGTTCGGCCATTCCGCCTCGAACGGCTTTCAATCAGGAACCGGAAAAGAATACGCCACCAACACACCCGACGGAGGCAAAAATGATACAGCGGCGTAATACCAAAACTCAACCCCACAGCGGAAAACTGCTTCTGTCTGCTGCTCTGAGTTGATTATTTTTTGGTCAAGTTACAAAAGTGCTTAGCGAAGTCACGTGGCTTCCGGCTTCCAATGAGCTTTGTTCAAACCAAAGCCTGCACAGACGCGTAAACGCATATTACCGTCGACAAAAATAAGTTAAATGTATATACAAGCCATTTTGTTTCCTCGGTTAATTTTCGTTGAGTTATTTTGTCCGTGTGTTTTTTCCCCAAATAACTCACTGGCGGTTTTATTTTGGAATCCGTCTCGACCCACTTCCTGTCTTTCTCGTCACGGACTTGATAGGAAAGCGATTTGCGTCACGGTCACAACAAACCCTCTACCGCCCTCCTACGACGCAAAGTGAAATTACCACTCGGATCCATTCCAATGTAACATCAGCTGACATGTGCCCTAAAATAAAATAACTTGCATTATTTTATATGAAAGCATATCTCCAAAAGAACGACTTTTTTCTCATTTTCATGATATATATTAACATTACATTTTCTGGAGATTTATCACCATCTATTCAGGCAGAGATTTCTCTGAGTGAAAGCATTTGGGGAACTCAAAGACTATTAGTGACTGAAATGAATACACTTATGATGTATACATGCACTCTATGCATCCATAATGTATGGGGCAGAAACCTTGTTGTTTTACGCAAAAATACAAACAGGAGATATGAACTGCAAAAGATCAGCATCAGTCTTCATAAGTTATATCTTATAATGTCTGAAAGATGAGTCACTCATATCTTTAATGTTGCTCATTCATTCATCTGTTCACTCAGAATTGGCAACTAAAGCAGACAAACAAACGCAGCTGAGTCTGGAGACATTTTATTAGTTATTTATTATTAGTTATTGTGGTTTATGGTACCTAAGAAGCACGGGGTAGGTGGTACCTATATGCTTCTGATTGTGGTGATGGCATACAATATCCACTTCGTAAAGACTGAACTGGACTTTAACACGCTCGTTGGGAGAGGTCAGGAAACAGAGAGTGTAGAGAGCAATCTCAAACTCAGGACTCACACCGATGAAGATGCTACCCTTGGGTTTCATGCCGTCCTTCCAGCTGAACTGAAGTGCCAGGATGTGTTTGTTCTCATCAGGCTAAAGTGAAAGAGAGATTTATAACAGGAAATTAGATTTAAAATAGGTTACTGAATGATGGAGAAAGTGGGACTGTTTGTGAGGGATTTAATACTTAGCAGCAGAGGGGAAAATAGTAAGAATAATTCAATCAAATCACAAAATATGTCAACCCTGAGAGAGTTGGTTTAAGTTGTGAAACTATGACCTTCTTTTTGGCGCATCTTAGTTAAAGCCCCAGACGGCAGACAGTACCTGGGGAGAATTAGCACTGACGCTGTAGCCTTTATAATCAATGTGTCCCAGCTTTTCTTGCAAGTACAGTTGGATCCAGTTGTGAAAACCAATGACGGTTCGTTTGCCTCTTGTCTCTCCGACAAACACGTGTTCGAACCCTGAAGAGTCAGGCCTGCAGGCAGTGAAGAGAGGATCAGAGAACAAATACTGCGCGTTGCCATGCTGTTTACAGGCTTTAGTCTGATAGATTGAATGATTTATGTATTAATGTGAACTGGAAAATGTTATTTTACCACCTCATGGTCACATTCAATTGTTAATACATTCCCAGTTTTGAGCTTAAGTTAGTATTTTCTAGCTATTTCCATGCTATGCTAAGCCAGTTTCTTAGTCAGATGTTAACCATCATGGTGTTAGATTCCTCAGGTGAGGTTATATATGAATGCAGTGTCAGATTCCACCCACCCGCTGGATCCTCTCCTCGCATACAGCTCAAACCAGATCCTGTACAGCTGCTCCTTGAATTCCGTCTCATTCTTAGGAGAGAGGTTCTTCTCAGCCAGGTATTTATGGGCTATCTGAAAACATGAAGGAATCACACCACTGCTTTGAGCCACTTATGAATGGTGACCACAAACTTCGTGATTGTGAACTGTTTTTGTTTTGTTTTTCAGATGAAGAGTTACAGCCACAAAGTCAAATCCAGCACCAAATAAAATCAACCAGACAGACAACAAATCAAACCAAGGAAGAAAGAATAGATGTAAAACAAGTATAAGATGTCTTCATCTGGTAATACTTATCACAAAAGGGTTAACAGACAGGAGTGTGGACTGACTTAGCTAGTTTTAAAAAATGAAAGAGAATAAAGAATTCTATGTATTTGTTCATAACTTTGCTTCATCCTTGTCTAACCAAATGCCAGTTGCTAACAGCCACTATCTGTGAGGTAGTGAATGTTTGTATGGTTACACAGTACTATGTGGTGGTAGATTTGATACTAATTAATGGTATTGACATTTCATAAATGTATACATGAATACATTTGCACTTTGGCTCAAGGCAATCTTGAACCGGGTTGCTATTTAAGTGTTATTTCTGTGAAATAATAACTTCATTGAAATATTTAGTATCTTTAAAAACTGTGTCTACAAAGTGCTTTGACAGAGAAACGAAACAACAGGGGGCCAAACAGTGAGAGGAAAAGATTTAGCTAAAAACTTTATAACATCGCATCAAGCCAAGTCTGAAAGATGAAAGATGAAAGAAAGAGGATCGGACAAGATAAGTGCTTAATAAAATATTAATCAGAGTTTTCTGGCTGTGGATATGACATTTGTGGTTATGGTATTTTTTATGACAATGATGGAACTATCTGTGTGGAGTGAACAGTTTGGCTTCTGATTATGAGTCGTTTAGTTGGAGTAAGTTCTGCTCCATGGTGGCTACGCCTTACCACTCAGTACACAGAGTGTGTTAGCTGTATGCAAGAAGAACAAAATGAAGTTTGAGCATGTTTGTTATCAAAGACCAAACTAAATATCCCCAGAAGGTGAACAAACACCACTGTAAAGCTCTCCTTTAGTTTTCCTTATCCAGATAGGCAGCGATGGCTCTGACCATAGACTGGATTCATTTTTGTCTTGAAGCCCAATTCAGACCAGAATGTATTTTTGTTTTACTATAAGATCTTAGATTTCATTTGTGTTTTCTTCCTTTTTTAAACATTTTTTCCGGGGTACCTTCATGGTGGGTGTCTGAATGATGCAGTCCAAGAACTTGTGGTTCTCTGCCACCTCCTCTGGAGTTACAATTTCAGGCTCCCCGGTGTCACTCTCATAGTTATCCAGCAGGGAGATAAAGGCTGCAGAGAAAAATACAAACACCATTCAGAGGCAGACTTCGGTCAATGTGGGGCATGGCATTACATAATGGTTAAAGCTGCTCAGTACCAGAAAAACAGAGATTATCAAAAATTACAAATACGAAGCTAAAAACAGAAAAGTCCTATTTTTGAGATCCAATATATTTTCGATCCATTTTTCTTTTTTCATTTCAGTTTACTTTCAATGAACAGTGCGCTCTGTATAAATATCAGCAAAACAACAGCTCTACTCAAGTGAAACAAAACATGAATCTGTAAAAAGACAAAAGGCAGCTGGAGGGAAGTGAAATCCAGTGATGTTTGGATAATCTTTCTGCCCCCAGTACACTGAACTCTGTATGTGATTACACAACACGCCACAGTTGGTCATGGCAGGATTTGATGGAGCAGATTTAATCTAAAGGAAGTTGACCAGTAATGGCAAACTGGCGCCGACGTGAGACAGATAGCATTAATCCAGACTTTGTAGACTGTGTAAGAGGCAGTGACACACTGGTGCCAGATCCAGAAAAATAAAAGGGTTGTTCGAACATCTCGGAGTAACAGGGAAAACAACACAAATGTAAAGCTTAGTGAGCTTGAGTCACTGCAATACGACTCCACAGAAAACCTTCAGCACTGACCTAAAAATGTCTCCTTTTTGAAAATAGTCTCATTGACAAAAGTAAACAGTGGGAATCCTGCTTTCTCGATGTTTTCTTCAATGCCCATGCTGTTTCCAGCTTTGCCCTGGAGCAGAAAAAGAAAGAAAGAATTTCAATCACAATACGGATTCTCTATTTTTCTAAAACAGTCTTTTTACCAAATGCTTCTAGTAATCAATTTTAGATACATTCGGAGCTACACCTGCTTGGAAAATGTGCTGTGACTGTGTTGGGATTAGAAAACTAATTCAAACAACACATTTTCTACCTCCTAAACCCCAGTGATACATTAATCTGTCGGTCAAACGATAGTTCTAAATGTTCCTCTTTTAATAGTTAGGAAAACAACATGTTAATTTCTATATGCATTACAAAAGACGCTACATAATGCGTTTGTGTGGGGCACCTGCAGGGAGATCCTGTAGTCTTTTCCAGGTGTGAGTCTGTTGACATCGTTGTCCCACAGCTTCTGCGCCATGGCCGACAGCTCCCTGTCGCTCTCAGTCATGATGTGATCGTTCCTTCCTGCTCTTGGTCCCGCAGTTGCTGTTGACGGTTCAGTCTTGGTGTGGTTCTAACGCGAGAGGAACCGATAATGAAGAGCCGGAGAAGAGCTCCAGATGTTATGCACTGGCCTTTAACGGTGGAAACATAAGCAAACGTGTCTTCTGAACTAAATAAAGGCTGCTAAAAAATAAAAAACTTTTGTTAAACTTATTTTTTTAACTTGTTTGAGCAGTCTAAGATAATTAAAGGCACTTATTAGTGGCTAAGGTTTGCAGACTGGCATGCAGTTGATTCCTTTATGGGTTAGATAAGTTCTGCCTACTTGTGAATGTATTAGTGTAGAAATATGTCTCAGACCATGTGGGTTGGTCCTCTAAGAGGAAGGTCACCACATCTTTAAAACAGTGTCAGTCAATGTTTGCAAACAGAAGTTGGTCCTTTCTTTTTAAGGACTTTCCTGTCAAGTCTGCACAGACACAGATTCAACATGAAAAATTACCTGAAAGCCTCATTTTGGGCTTCTGTGGCACGCAGAGGTGCTGACAATGAATTCTATGGCATTACTGATGCCTCATTTCTCCTTATCTCTCAGAACCTTGAAAGCTGTAACAAATAGTACCGTAACCCAAAAAAATAAAATAAATGCGCTCATAAGCTGGAGCTGTGATAACATTGTTGGTCACTGATAACTAAGGATTGAATAATAGTGAGCGAGTGATACTACAATTTATTTGGATATAGAGTTGGAAACTAGCATTTAACCACAGGTGTAAACAGACTCACGAGCAGAAATTCAAATGTACAAAACCCTGATTTCTCATAAATCATGTTATTCTGCGTCATTAATCAGATTAAGTTATTACGGAGGTATTTTCATTCTGCTCATTTTGGTTCAGTTTTCATTAATGTTTTTAATTTTTTTGGGTCATTTTCAAAATTTTGTCGAACCCTGGTCATCTTTTTTTAAATTTCAGAATCAAAACCTAATACTTGCTGTATAGAAAACCACAATGTGAACTTTAAAACCTGACATTCGTTTACAATCAATCAAGGCTCATTCATTCATAAGACTGACAAGACTCTGAACGGTGGCTCTCTTAGTTTCAACAGGATAACAATGAGTAAAAGCTTCTGCAGACCCGCAGTTCTGATCCACACAATTCAACTCTACAATGCCTCTACGCTGCTTTAAAAAAAGAAACTTTTAAAAAAGACTTGGCAGATGGCAGATCCAACATTCTGGACAGAGCAAAACCCCCAGCCACCACATCAGAAATCCTCTGACCTGGTGTTCCCGGTCTGGTCCTTCTTCTGTGAAACGAGGGGAGGGTGGTGGATCGGTGTGTGGCCGAGTGAGGCTCCTCAGTGCTGGGCAGGTCCTGCCCGTGTTGGTTTCCTGTGTTTCTGACCGCCTGCGTCTTCAATGGGCATAGTAACAGTCCAGTCAGTCGGCCAGTGAGCATGTATGGGAAAAGACAGAGAGCATGAAGCAGGCGTGGGGGGGTTGGGGGCGGGGGCGGCGGGGTGACAGGAGAGAGGGGCCGTTTTAAAGGGTTATCCCCCGTCAGCAACTCTGGCCAAAGGGAGTACACAATGTTGCCTCTTTTCAGTCTCAGGCTAAAACATGGGCTCTTTGTTTCTTTAGCATTTCATTGTTGCACTCTCTGTCACAGCAGAATCTCTGGAATACCGGTTAAATAAGGCTCCTATTTCAGGTGGTAAGATGGATTTAGGCGTTCACAGCGACTTTAATCCCCAAGAATACTGAACAAAAAAAATGTTGTGTTCCGTCTTGCTAGTCTGGGTTCCTTTGTGTGAAATGTTCCTAAAATAATTACATATTAAGGGGAAAAAATGTATAAGTAAAGGCTTACCCGTACAAAAATGACATCACATGGTTACAGGATCAGGATCTGGGAGCCTACCAATAAGCAATCAAGTGACTGAGGATTTTTCTGAAACCAAGACAAGGTGGGATGGAGAGGTAAAGGCGGACGCAGGAAAGGTGCGGAAGTTTTTAAAATCCACTATCAGGTTTTACTAACATGACTAATTTTAGTGAGATATTGCCCTCACACAAAGCAAAAAAAACCAAAACACACACACTCATAAAGGTGAAACATCAATAGAAAAAAAACATAACTGCTCTTAATCAAACTGAAACGTTTTAATAAATGAGCAGCCATTCAGCAGTCGTGTAGTTGTAACTGCAATGTTTATTTTCATGAATGCATTTAACAGTGTTTTGTACGTCTGGCATTCTTACATCACACGGAGCAACGAGAGGCCTGAATGGATGAGAGTGAGAGAGAAGCAAACCTTGTGCACTTCACGATTGTCGTCTCTCAGTCCACGCCAGCGGTGGCCCGCAAAACACGAGTGAACAGAAAAAGCTGCGACGATCTGCTTTAACATGCACAAGCTTTTAGCCAAGTGAGGACTTCCTTCTCACTTCACGGTGTCTGAATAACCCTTTTTCAAATATGTCCCCTTATCATAATTCTAAAAAAGAAAAAAAACCCAAAGGATATGCTGTCGTGAAAATTCATTGCACTCAATCAAATACCTCCAAACAAAACCAGTCTAACTAACACTCCTCCCAACCTGCTTGACCCGTTTCCCATGGCACAGGAGCACACTTCTGGACGTGAAAGCCTCATAAAACGGGGACGCAGTACAACATTTTCCGCATACTGTGTAGATCGGAAGGAACGGTGGAACTTCATTTGAGTAACAGACCTCCGAGCTCACCTCTGCAGCTTTAATGTGGAATATTTCTTTATTCTTAATTGTCTTAATTAGACCGGGTAATCCCCCAGTCCACACTAAAGTTCAAAGAAAGGTTTGGCATAAGTCTGACGCCTGACCAAATTGGTAGTTTTACAAGCAGGATAACCCCAAAAAAATAAAACTCTGTTCTTTTGGGGGTACTGTTATCATTTCTTGATTTTTTTAAATCCTCCAAAGGGTTTGCCTTGAGTTTGTTCTATGACACTGTCATAGTGAAAAGGTTTGTGTGCTGCTAATTGCTGTTAGATCTGTCATGTCCATAACCCAAAGAAGTATTCATTGAAAACATGATCAAATTGTCAACAGTTTTTTTTCCCTTAACCACCTCAGAATTCAAAACTCAATTAAATGAATGATTTAGATAGGTGACCCCTGCCATATTTCGCTTTAATTATCAACCACTCGTGTCCATGTCACTTTTGCTCAGATTTCTGTCACCTGGTCGCATTCCGAATAGTAACAGTGGTTTCGGAGACGGTGCTTTGAGCGGCGCCGCGGAGCCTGTTCGGGCGCCGATGGCTCCACGGATGAAGTGATGCTCGTGCGAGAGATAAAGTGCGTTCACTGGGGTGCGTCCGGCGGAGAGGCACCGCCCCGGGGTTAGTCCTCCTCGTCACTCCAGAAGTTGTCTTCATCGATATCTACGCCGTGGAAAAGTCTGCAAACAGGCAAAACGGGGCAGATTAGAGACGGAGGGGGTGACGGGGCGCGGCTGAGGGAGGGGCTGGTGAAACAGTCACTCACTGGTTAAAACAAGGTGAATGTGGGTTGTTAAAGTGACTGTACGGGTTGACTTTGCTGAGGACGCCCAGGCACAGCCAGCAGAAGTACTGTTTACAGGAGGTGCAGGTCATCTTGTTACACCCGTCTTCTTTCTGTGGGAACACACAGACGAGGCATTAGTGGACGAGGCCTCCAGTCATCAACCGCAACTGATTGGAGATCAGCTTCTACAAATGAGAATAACTAAGGCATACATTCAGAAAAACAAGTTCCAATTAGTTGTGTGCTTTGGAAGACTTCAATTGAAATAACTGCTTAGTCTTTTGCATTAAAGTGGTCTTCAGTGATCACTGACCTCTGGCAAGAGGACAAAGCCTAAGTTCTACTACGCTGTTACCAGCAGGAGGAGGAGGAGGGGCCCGACCTGGATATTAGTTCCGCAGCGTGGGCAGCTTTTGCAGTTCTCGTTAAGCCAGTCCCTGCTAAAGGATTCCTCCACGGCCTTCTGGATCACCCTCTTCCCAAAGCGCTGCTCCATGAACTTTTTCCCTTCACATGTGGCGGACAGGTACTCGTCTCTGAGATTCCGCAGTTCGTCTGTCGAACGAGACAGTGCAAAAAGGAAAGGCAGATGCTTTCACCATGAAAACCGAAAAGCGGGAGAAAGAAAAACAGTGATTTTCTTGCATCCCCTGAGTTTGCCACAAGTCCTATTGAACTTCTTCTTCTGACAGAAGTACAAGTATTCTAGTGTTTGCAGTAGCTCCTAAGTAACATGGCTCAAAATCTGCCTGCTGACTTTACCTGCAGAGACTTTACAGTGGGAGACGCCGTGATAGCCCAGCTTGCACAGTGTGCAGAAAGCGTACTGGCAGGCCGAGCAAATGCCCATGGTCGTTTCGGGCTCCACCATCACGGCGGTGCCACAGGACTGCCGGGGACAGTAGACCACGTCGGCCATGAGGTCCAGAGTGGACTGAAGCAGCAAGCGGTCGTATCGTGCAAACAGCTCCTCGTCGACAAGCTGTTTCACCTGTAAAGTGAGCGGAGGGATGCAGCAAGAAAAGAATCAGACTACCACAACTGACATAGTTTGGAATATCTATTTTTTTAAAAAGGGAAAAATTCGACTGCGGTTTTCTGCTCCGCCAACTTACCTGGGAGGGTGTGGCTATTGAGGTACATTTGGGCTCGGGGCAATTAAGGCACTGAACGTTGCCGTCCCGTATTTGGATCTGGAAGTATTCCGTCATGCAGGCCTTGCAGTACACGTGTTGGCACTCCTTGAAGCAGAGGCAGCCGGAGCCCAGCTTTTCCATAAAGCAGATTCCGCAGCAGAACACCTTGCCGTCGAAGGCCCTCTGCCGCTGCGCCTCGTCAAAGTCCAGGAGCTGAGGTAGGGGGTCCGCCCGCGGGTCCATCAGCACCACGGCCCGCGGGTCCGGCGGAGGCAACGCTGAGAGGGGCTCCTCGGACTTTCCCTTACACACCACTGCTTTCCTCTCCTCTGAGTTTTCCGAGTGGCTTTCACACTGTGTAACAGCTGGTCAGGAGAGCAAAAATGAGACTGGATCAATGTTCTTGGCTTACAAAAAAGAAGAAAACACAAATTGATGGAGCATATTATCGGCACTCCCTGATGCTAATTGATGGTACAAAAAAAGCGAATTATCCACCACATCAGCAAATCTGCCATGTGGCACGACAGCTTAATGCCAGCTGACAAGAAACACAACATACAGTTTCTAAATAAAATGTGGTGCCACGGCGATTAGAAATATATCTTAAGTGATGCGTCTAAGTCATCTAAAAGTTACAATAATAAAAATGAATATTTAATAATAATAATGAAAATAATAATATTATACCCGTAGCTGTGGAGTCTGCTTTCCGTCTTTCGCCGCCTCCCTTGATGCTGCCCCTGATGATTTCAAGAGGAGACTTAATGGCCAGAAAATCAAAAGCCTCCTCTTTGAGGAACTGGATCCAGGTGAAGAGAATGACACAGCCTTGGTTCTCCTCCCACAACTTATCAAGGTGTCGGCACAATGAGCTCATCTGAAGAAGCAACACATCAGAGAAGGAACTGGTATTCAGAGAGATAAAAGCCAGATGGCAAGGACAGCAGAGACTCCCCAAACCCGTGGCACCACACTTGTCAATAACTGGGTCTCGATCTGAATATTCTACTAGCAAGTGTAGGCCATCGGTGTTTGTGAAGAAAAAAAGAAACGTATGAGTTAGCACAGGCCCTACCTGAGATTTGGTCATCCATTTTGAGCTGAGAGTGAAAAGTGGCGCGGATGTGGATGGATAGTCTGCAGGCAGCTCAAAGTTAAGCACCAGAGGAGGTAAAAAGCAGACATGATATTCAGTTGTTTTCTCTCCTGCAAGCAAAAGACAGAAGATTAAGTCATAATCCATATTCGAAAGACAGCAGAAGCATTCTGCATCACAAACAAAAACACCTGAGCTCTGTAGAAATACTTGGCTTGGACAAAGTTTGAGTCAAGAGCAGAGGCAGACTTTATCTTAATGTCCACCCTGATCCCAGAATGGGGGAAGCAACACACTTCAAGTGGACTACACTTCCAGAATGTAACAGACCCTAGATCTAAAGCGCTGTCAGTACAGTAATCTTAATACAGTAAACAAGGAGTTACACCCTCCCTTCTTCTCTCTTTAAGGCTTTACCTTTTACAACCACTTTGAAGTCTGGAGGAAGCTCCAGGCAGAGTTGGATCTCCCCCCCTTGGGCAGACTCTGCCCGATGGAACTCCTCCTCATCATAGATACTTGCTAAAGCAAGCAGCTCATCCTCTTGGGCTTCCTTATCCTCAGACATTTACATTCCTGTAAAAGATGTTTGTTTACAAGCTCTGAATTCCGAAGACACACGTTTACAGGCCAACATTAAAAAAAAGTTAGTGTTTAATCTGCGTGTTAGGTAACCCATCACACACATACAGGCTCAGGAAATCGACGGCAAGCAAAAATAATGTATACAGAGGCAAATAGCTAAACTTTGTTGTCACTTAGCTGAGCTACGCTACACACAAACAGAACAGTAAGTACCGAGTTTAATTTAGACCTCCATAGACGTATTCTTAGGGTGAACAGCCACCTGTCATGCGGCGCTTCTGTAGGCAGAAGACATACAAACACCTTACGCTCGACTAGCTAGCTAGCCGGTTTGGCAATTAAGGAGAAGGGGGGCATTGAATAAGGGTAGCATGCTAGCAACTATAGCATCCGTACACAGCCACTGAGCGGTGGTTATTACGTTACAGAGGTCGGCACTGTAATAAACTAACTTTTCACAAGACTTCACAAGGCGGTTTACCTTCTAAACTCGGTACAACTGTCAGAGATGTGTAAGTTTCCTACCGTAAGCGACCCGAGTAGGAGTGACTTTTGCCCCCTGACGTAGTTGTGTTGTGGCAACTAGGAGTGAGGGCGCCACCTGCAGGCTGGTTGGCGTATTGCTACTTTCAAACCGTGCAAAAGGCCTTGATGGTGGAACCACTGACATAATATAACTTTATAATGTAGTACAGCTAGATAACATCTATCATGACGTTGTATTCCATGGATGAGAGATGATAAATGCATTTCACATTTCCCTGGCCGTAAGAACAGAAATACATTGTGAGAATCCTAACTGGCTGTGGCCAGATCGTCCTAAAACCTTGAGCTGATCTGCTCGTTATGGCCAACAGGGATAATGAATTTAAATTAGACTTAGAAGGAGAGTTTCTGGTGCATTATATGGATATGATGAACTGATTAGTTTTTCTGGTGAAATTGGACTAAGGATGCTAAATAAAACCTGTGCTTGTCAACACGACACAATCGCCATGCTCCTGAATAGAAACGAGTGTAAATAATTTAGTTCACACACTTTCAATTTTTTTGGTCAAGATTTATTTTTTACTTTTTGGTGATGTGGCAACGACAGCAACACCTAGAAGGCGATTTGCTGAACCAGCAACCACACAGTTGAGTAGAAAAAAAGAAAAGAATATAATAATACCAGAGAACGAAACGGACCATTGCTTTTGAATGAGAAAAGCAGAACAATGACATACTGCATGACAGTAACCTGTTGCTTCTTATTCCAAAATACAGTCAACTCAACAAAAATGTCTTTCTTCCTCTTTAACTAAATACAAATTAGCCCAGGAGTTACAACTTAATGGGTGAGAAAAAGAGAGAAAAAAATAAGTACAATTTGACATTTACACCTAGAAACGAATGATGCCCCCTCAACCAATGCCACTTTATCTACATATTACTTAGACGTACAATATTTTACATATTCTGGACTCATGTATCTATAATTAGCCATTAGTCAACTGAACAGCCATTTTGCTCACAATTCTTTAAATCTGACATTCTTAGCTTTAGTCTGCTCAGGAGATAGGAGATACGACAATCTGGAACATAACAGCTGTCAAATAGCACAGAGAAAGCAGCTTCCACCCGGCCCTCACATTCTTTATGTCACAAAGTAGTCTATTCCATATCAAAGTAAAGCCATTCATATTCAAAGAATATAAGAAAAGACGTGCCGTGTCGGCAGACTAATGATAGTGACCATGAGGGACGCTGCCGTCTGTGTTTTCAAGATGGGCTACTGTATCATAAACGATCTCATAAAGAAACGGCAGAGCTGGGGGTAGCGGGACAAACGGAGGGGGAACTGGAGGTTGGCATCAGGTAGGGCTAGTCAATGTCCATTTCGGGGAGCTTGTTTTCGGTGGACTCCTTTTCCGTGCCGGCGGGCAGGACTTTGTCTGGGTTGCGTGGTTGGCTCTCTGTGCCCTCCTGGCCATTGACTGGCCCATTCTCCGTCTTCTCCTCCTTAGGAGGCTCCACTTTGGGCTTGGCTTTGGACAGCACTGGGTTGCAAGAGGAATAAAGCTCCTGGGAAATGACAAAGGAGAACGATTCGCTTTTGTCTGTACACAAATCACATGTGACCACATGCTGTTTGCTCTGTGGACGACTCCCGAGAAAAAAAATTACTGACCACAAAGAGACAACTTATAAGCTGGCTTTGTGTGCTAGGTACCTTATTCTTGGCCCGAATCTCTGCAACTTTGACCACTGGGTCCACGGTGAGGTCCTGACTGTTCTGTTGGTTCATCTTACTGTTCATCCAGTTCATGGCGTCAGTGATCTGCTTCTCCACCCGGGTCACCTCCAGTTCATCCAGGTGGTCATATTGCTCATCCTGACGGGGGATACACAGTTAAGCTGTCAGTGAATGTAACTTATTCTTGTATTAATGGCAGAAACGCTTCAGGAGAACAGTGAAGGAGACGTATTCAGCTGATATTCACCTTTGCCTTGTAAGCTTCAATGATCTTCATGTACATCTGGATCTGTCTGCCAAGCTCATCGAAGGCTTTTGGTCTCTCCTCAGCTTCCATGTATCTATCACGAATGGGCTGACCAATTAGCTGTAGAGGGGAACATCGAGTCTCGTCACTTCATTCTTAAGCAACACTTACCCCAACATTCTGACAATAGAGGGCATTTCCATTATCCAGATAATTAAGGCTGTGAATATCAACCCTGTGTGGTGTGTAAATTAAGCTTTCAATCCCATTAAAACAAACACAAAAAAAAGATACACTTATCCTTCACAAAAACACAGGACATAAGTATCCTTAAATGAATCGTTGTATAAAACTAAAAAAGCATTATTTTATTCAGCTTTTTGTATCAATTTGAAACCTTCATCGTGCCTTTTTAAAAGTTTGCCTTCAAACTAAATGTGTCCTGTAGCCCATTGTGCGATGGCTTACCTTCAGTTCAGCCAGTTTGTCTATGTACACTTGCTTCTGTTGATCCTCTCCGTCCTCATACAGCCAGTTCTCCGTGTCCTCAAGTTTCAACGAGAAAGCATCGCGGTCCTGAAATTTACAACACGAGTCAGAAACATTCGGTCAAAACGTAGAACGCGAGGAGTTCAGAGGCTAAAGCTTAGTCTCGCCATTATGAGCATTTCAAATCGGGCCTCGTGATAACGACACCCATCTGTACTCACGGCTTCATTGACAAACTTCTCCAGGACTCCATGCAGTTTATCCCTGGTGTCGTACACGTACTCTTCCACGTTGTTCTTGGCGTCATTTCTCTCCTTCTCCAGCTTGTCCTGCATGATCATCTTCCCCTTTAAGAGTGATGGTGAATAACGTAAGTCAGAAGCCAACGTCGAATGTGGTGTTGCAAGTTCATTTTCAAGTTGAAATCAGACAAAACGCCCTGATGTTTCATACTATGTGATAGAATTCAAGCATGAAGAAGAAGAAGTAGCAAGATGGAGCATTAAAGTCACTGCTAAGGTTTAAGAGAATAGCGAGTTAACTACAGACACGCAGATTAACAATTCAAGCTCAGTTTAAGAAATAACCAAGCATAAATACTGTAGGTACAAGTGATCAAAACGATATTTCTTTTCATTTAAAGAGCCAACAGTAACTGAAGCGGCTCCAGTCAGCCTCCCTGACTCCAAAGCACAGCAGACATTCCTGGTGATTTTTAGAGCATTACCTCATTCTCCACAAACGTATTCAGCTCTTGGCTGGACAGCTGTCCCTGCAGCTTGTTCTCTATTGGCAGATCAACCGTCTTCGTTTTCACTTTGGGCTTCTTCGCCTGTGGAGGCTGGTCGTTTTTCTTCTCCTGCTTAGCGTCGTCTGTGGATGTCTGATAGAGGACACGAGAACAACCTTTCAGGACATTTTGGACATAGGATGTTTGAGCTGTTCTTGCATTGAGCGGCACATCTACGCAGGGCTGTGAAATGTTTTTAAAGGGTGCAGCAGCGAAAAAGTCAGTTTGAGTGAGTCCAAACTGCCCCATTACCAGATTCCACCCTGGAGTTTAAGCCTCCTTTGATGGCCATTGATAAGTGAAGACTGTCTCTAAATGATTAGCCTCATCTTCAATTGAATAGATTTGGTTTGTTATGAAGTTTAAAACTAAACCTTTTTTCCCTGTTAGCAGGGAACCTGAATCATCCCCGTTCTCGCCACTTGTGTCTTGTTACACAAAAACAAAATCACCTCCATTTCCTCTGCGTCTGCTTTCTTCTCGTCGTTATCTCCGGATTGGATCTTCTGCTCCTCCTGGTCCACCTGCATTTTGCCCTGGCGCGTGGCGACATTGGCGAGAGAGGAGATGGACAGAATTTAAACCCGAGGTGACACGTGCCCCTCTTCAAGCGGGTTCTTTCATTCATCTGGATTTTGTACTTGGGCTGGTAAAAACCTAACCAGCTCGTTTAGTTTCGGTCAGAGCAAAGACACACCTCCTCCTCCTTCACCTGGTCCGTCTCCATGGGCTCCTCCCCATCAGCCACCTTCACCACCTCCACCAGTGAGGCGCTTGAAACGCTGAACACGCCGTGCACGTTGACGCGCACCTTCACCTTAACCTTGGCGCTCTCACCCGATGCCTGAGGAACTACGTTCTGGATCAGGAACTGGCCTGTGTAAATCAGGAAAGACGTAGAGCATTTACATATTTTTTTTCCTTAAAAAGAATAAAAAACACCCTCCTAAGTGAGCGAGCGTATTAAAACTAAGGCTGCTTCAGGGTGGGAATCGTCTGACTGAAACCAGTTTTGGCCACCCACACTGGGAGCTAACAAACCAAACGTGGAACTGGATGGTATGCCAGAGTTCAACAGGAACCGTCTCCTGTTTGTTTACAGAGTGCAAACGACGTCATACACGATCAATTACAAAAGATTGCCAGTATGCATTCTTTATTCTGAGCTCAACATTTCTCCTAAGGAAAAATAAAAGAAGCAATTTTTTCTTTCCTTCTACCAACGTCCATTAAATACTACCCCCCCAGCTTATTAAGACTAAGTGAATATGAACATGCAGTACCTATAGAGGCAGTAGGGAAGGGAAGCTCCTTTGGGTTGTTGTAATAGGCCTCAAGGGTGAAGGGCTCTTTCCGGTAAAAGGTCAGCACTTTTGAGAAAGGAGCTGCGTGGTTCTTTGGGAACACCTCGCAATCACTGCAAAATCACAAAAAGGAGGCCAGTGAGACGCACAAAGTCAAGTCAGTGTTTTCTGGTGGTTCATCAGGTACGGGAAGCCAACAAGCCCCTCGTCCCAAGAGAGGAAAGGGTTAAAGAACGGACAAGAGGCTTTTCGGCCACCTGTTTGCTACCCACTCAATCATCCACGCACCCACACACCAATCTGCTATTTGGCAACAGCTTACAACACACTTCCAAAATGTTCTTCAAACTGTGAGCGCCTCGGAGAGTTCAGAGAAGATACGAAAGATGGAGAAAGTATTTGGTAGGATGAGAAAAGCTGACAATGATAAATTCATTTGGGTAGCTGTGTCGGAAACAGCTGAGAGGGCTGAGAAACGCGTTTCATTGGCTGAACAAATTAGCTTCAATGCATAGGCCCTCTTTATGTTGGCAGTGTGAGAGTGGATGTAGTTCCAGCTATCAGAACAATAAACATGTTTAATGAAAACGACATATTGAACAGGATTTGTTAGACGGGGCTGTACCTCAATCCATCCTCGGCAGATGAGTTCCATTTTAGGGAAATGGAGTACGGGACGACGTCTGTGATGGAGAACTCTCTCACTTTGAAAGCTGGTGACAAGATGGCACACTGTAGAGGGAGAAGATTTTATCAACAAATAAACCTCGAACCATTACAACAACTAAAGTGGTGGTGAAGCACATGGTATAGTGCTCATTGCTGTGACTATGCACAATTCTAAAAAAGGCAATTCAGGGAAAGTCTCATTCATTTAAAGTCTCTGCCGGGGGACAAATGGCTCACTAATGAATCGATCTCCATAGAGGGGAACGCGTCCCGCTCTTCTGGCCTCTGGCTCTAAATGCCCACTGCCTGCGCTGGGTCAGAAAGAACGGAAGCGAGGAGCTGCTCGTGACAGCTGGGCGCCGCTACCTGCAGGGCGCAGCCTCTGGCCACGGCCTCGTCCGCGTTCAGGGTGGTGCTCAGCTCCTTCCCAAAGAATTTGCCGATTCGCTCTTTGACGGCAGGTATTCTGGAGGCACCGCCCACAATCTCCACGGCGTAGATGTCTTCTTTTTTCAGTTCTGGACGCAGAGGGGAGAGAACACGAGAGTCAAACAGATAGCAAGCAGGCTGGCTGGAAAGAAAGCTCCAAGAGGGGAAAAGGCGGAAACAAGCCAATGGAAGATGTTAGAAAAGAGAGGCGAGGGAAGATTCATGTGGGCAGACGGGAAGAAAGATGTTCTGTCAGTATGAGCTCAACTCTTTTGGAATGGGTGTTTGTGAGTAAGCACATGCTCATGGGGATAGCCAGGCTTTTGTCAAAGTCTCATGTACTCACTGGCCTGTTCCATGACGCTGCGCAGGGGACCCTCCACTTTGGCCAGCAGCGCTGAACACATCTCCTCAAACTGACCTCTGAACACACAGTCATGAATTATTAATAGACGTAGCCCAGCACGCACGCACGCACGCACACACGCACACACGCACACACGCACAAACACACTTTGGAAAACTCAACATGTGCAGACAGGCTGTATGGCAGCGGGGACTGATGCCAAGTACACACGTCAGCTGAAAATAATGGAAAACTTTTATGTGAGATCTGAAACAATCCCAGCAGTCCAACCCTAAGAATAAAAGGCTTCTTAAACCCCTTTTAATGATTAGGCTCCAGATGGATGCTTCAGGAGGCTAGTCAGCAAAGCGGTTCAGGTACTGGAAGTCTAATTTGGAATGAGTTTTTTGGTCTTTCAGCAGCCCACAAGTGGCATTTAACACCCAAAAATGGTGTTAAAGCACCAACATTTTACTGAGAGGGTGAAGAATGACATCAACGATGGAACAGAGGTGTTGTACTACAGTGGCTCGGTTGAAATTTTATTCCAATTGTCAAAAGCTCCTTTGCTTTCAGGCTCTGATTTTGGCTGCAGCGCAGATATTTCTGAATCAATTCGCTCAGGGTGCTTTTATTCAGTCAGACCGATAAGCAACTACGATGCAAGTAGCACCATGTTTGAGAATGCAGAGCCAACATGGCGTCTACTCTTGCATAAAAAACAAAACAGGGCCGATGGCAGGGGCTCTGTGTCCCTTCCATTCTCCTGCTGTTTGTGTTTTAGGCATCCAGCATTCGCATTTTAAAAGGCAGCTACGTTTACAAAGAGTGTTGGGTGTCTTCAGACTGCCAGCTGCTGTTTGTAGGTCCTATCAAGCCAGGAGCTGAATTAGTCTTGCCGGCGAATCTTAGAAGTAGCTCTAACACCAGCCTTTCAAGCCAGCTTAGATGGAGAGGGGGGTCAATGTCGCATCCTGGGCTTCGTTCTTTACACTTCTGAATAACTCGCCGTCTCACCTGTTTAGTTTGCCGGAAACGTCGATGTCGTTCATGAAGCATTCGATGTTGAGGGGCAGATCAGAGGAGTTGGCACTCATCAGCTTCTTCAGCTTCTCGCACTCTTGGTAGAGACGCACCAAAGCTCGAGGCTTGGACTTGACGTCCAGCTTGTACTTCTTAGCAAACTCCTCGCAGAAGTGGTTGACCAGGATGTCGTCAAAGCCCTTCCCACCGAGGTCCGAGTCAAACGCAGTAGCCAGGATCTTGTGAGGGGGAGTAAAAGGTTAACATCTCATCTAATGGACTGACGTGTCATGTCAGATCCCTGTTTATCTGCGATAAAGCGGGCTTCTGAAAAGCATTTCTTTTTACAAAACACCAGAAACATCCAGAAATGTTTATACATGCGTCATAGATGCACTCCTTTCAGTTTCAACCGCCTGAAGAATTCCTCACTCACCTTGAGCTTTCCCTTGTTGAAGGCACAGACAGACACCTGGTACCCGGAGTGGCCCAGGTCCACAAACACCACTATCCTGGGCTTTTCCTCTGGAGCCGGTAGGTCCTGCTTGTAGATCCCATACGCAAGAGTCACTGCGATAGAGAATGAAGATGTCTGTGTTTTTTTCTCAGTGTACTGCTTCGGGTTAGGGTGTTAGTGTGCTGTAACATGCACTGTATCATCCTGAGCAACGGCTGTTCAAAGCTTCAGTTGTTTCAATTGGAGGGCAAATAAAATCTAGAAGAGTGCTGAAATTCTTTCCCTATAGCTGCCGTTGAAAACATAAAGCAGAGTTCCACATGTCTCTGAAAGTATGCTGTAGCACCAATGTGACACTTACATGGAAGTATAACTATAGCAGGGCAGAAAACTTACGTACCATATATCCTGAAAACAAATGGCTCCAGATGACTTATAAAAACCCTGTTTCACATTAAATATCGACCGAATGTTATTACGGAGTGGCGAAACCGCAGAGTTTTGGGGAGCCAGAACGACTCCCACGGTGCCTGTTCTGCACAGTTCACCGTGTTCCCATGTACCTGCAGCGGTCTCATTCATTAGTCGCAGACAGTTGAGGCCAGCGATCTGAGCCGCGTCAACCACAGACCTCCTCTCTGCGTCGGTGAAGTAGCTCGGTACCTGGGAGAACACAAAAACACAAAAACAATGTGATGTGAACATAAAAAATTAACTAACCCTTGCCCTGCCCAGAACCACCAATAAGTATTGATAAAATAAATATCTGCTGCGTTATCAACGCACTAAAAGTTTCCAATTAAAATCAATTTCACAGCAGGCCAATGTCTGGTTAGCTTCACATTATTACCGAGTATGGATACCACAAAACAAACATCTCCTTGTGGAAAAGTTCAAGGACTAAATTTAGTTCCTGGTCACATTAATAATAACATGCTATCAATCTCCGGGGCTGATGTAAACTGTAGCTTAAGGCCTAGTGAGGTTACAAAAGCCTCTCTGGAACCTTTAGAAGGTTACATGTCAGGTGCTATCGGTGAAAGCACAAGAAACACTTCCCACTCTTTACCAACAAGGTGTAAGAAAGGATACGGAGCTCTCAGACAAAGACATCTGGTGAAGCCGTTAAAGCTCAAAATGTTACACGAACAGGTGGCATTACATTTATACACCAGGCAGGTGGTTCACGCCTGTCTTCCTCTTTTGCTGTTAACCATTCTGCTGAAAACGCTGGAGCCTGGCATTAATGGCCGTCGCTTGGATATCAGTGTGATCATGTCATTCCAAACAAAATATAGAAAACAGCGGGACAGGAAAGTCATTTTGTGGCAACTCGTGGGCGTCCCGAAGTCCCCCGAGCACCGGGTCACTTCTTAAAAATAATTTGTTTGTAGGGATCCGCCAAGTAAATCAACACCTCCCGGAGAGCATTCAGAGGCAAACAGGCTGGAGAAGCTGGCTGAAGGCACATACTCAGACAGAAACAAAAAGAAGCACAGCACAAACCCACTGCAGGCTCTGTATAGGTTTCCAGACGGGCTTTTTGCTTACCGAGATGACACAGTCCACAACTGGTTTCTTCAGTGCACTTTCAGCAGTCTCCTTCAGTTTGTTCAGCAGCATTCCGGTCACCTGCTCAGTGCTGAACACCCTCTCTTCCTCCATGTACATTACCTAGAAATCGAGAGAGTAAGTCAGTTTACCTATAAGCAATGAGATTCTCATGTCAGCGGTGAGTACGGCTCACAAATCCTCCCTGAGTGCATTTTAACAAAGACAGAAAATGCGCGTAAAACATTAAAAGTCAAAACAAATTGTCCAAGATCTTTTACGACTTTCTTTTCCAAATGACTCATTACTACTCATTCATCCCGCTGGGATTTAGCGTGCAACAACAGGTCGATGCAGATTCCACTGACTCATATTAATTACCTCAACAAGGTGGCAACAACATGTTAAACCTGGTGTTTTAAATGTGCCAAGCCAGAATTTTGTCATTAATAAAATGCCTGAATGATCTAAAATTTTTAAAAAAGTCTTACTTTTATGCCGGTGGTTCCAGAGGGCATCTGTGCCAGATCATACACCAAATTAGCCTTGGCTGACTGAACATAAGGGTCTGAGAAAGCCCTGCCATGGAAGCGCTTGAAGCCCTGCACAGTGTTCTTACAGTTGGTCACGACCTAAATGCAAAGATGAAGCATGAGAAAGGGGTAATTAGAGGTAAAGACACGAACTGTGCGTTATACTTCATAGGATTTGCGATTTTTATGCCTAAATGCAAACGTTTTTGAAAATGTATCTGAAGTAGATGTGAAGGCGGCTGTATTGACTCTTGCCTGGCTCTTTGCTGCTGCTCCAATAGATCGATTTCGTGGTCCAAATGATACAAAAGACCTGGAAAAGGCAACAGTAAGATGTTTAGTGACATGATGTGCTATTACAAGTAAAAGCTTTGACCTCACCTTATCATGCATCTAACTGATGGCATTTACCAGATATTCACAAGATCATATCATTTCTACACAAACTGGCTTTTAGAGATGGCAACACACATAACCACAATGGTAAAGTCTATATAACACTGTTACATGGTTTTGATAGGCTTTAAAGGCTGTTTTTAAACTTGTTAAATAGCAAATCTAAGAGAAAGAAAAGGATCCCTCTATCTCTATCCTCAACCTATTCATCTCTCACACAGCCTCCATGTATGAACAATTTAAAGTGGTTTGGTCAGACTGCTTTGCACTCCTTGATTGTGGGATGAACACTTCTATCATTGTCATCATCACAGCTGAGCGGAGAGGCTAAACAAAGATACAATTGCTGTTCACACATAAGCACATTTGGCTATGACAAAGAGCGCCAACTGATACTGAGACTGAGATCAGTAAGCACAGTAGAGAAGTCAAATGACTAGCCAGGCAAAATTGTAAGTGGATTTCCTCAAAAAATAATAAAACACAAAACAATTAAAACCATTCAATCAAAAACTCGAATTAATTAAATAATACCACATCAGTCCAGTGCTCAGGTCTCTGCACTGGTTTTGAATAGTCTAGTACACGGAATGTGCTATACAAATAAACTTGCCTTGGTTTACCATAATTAACACTCCTTTGTAAAGAGTTATCAAAGAACAGTTTTGATGACTTTTTGATTACTTTCTCAGATTGCTTCACTTATATTCAAATTCATTAGGTGGTAAAAATTAGATCTACACCAACACCTGTTGTGATTTGCATACTAAAAAGTCATCGCAGAATTTTGGAAATCCTTTGTGGCATGAAATGGAAAAATAATACAAATTTTCTTAAACAGCGTTAAACCATCCTTTAAATATTGCAAAGCCTTGAAAATGTTAAGTTATATTAAGTAATTCAATGTTTTTATCTATATTTATACGCTATTTTACATTTATTAATAGTTATAAACTTTCCAAAGCTGCTTTACAACACACGTCTACCTCCCTTAATCACAAAAAAGTTAAACGAGCTACACTTATAAGGAATCAAATACATTTACCAATATCAACAAAAACATAATGTTTTAGGGGGTTTAATTTAACTTCATGCGCCCTTGTTATTTTTCGTTACAGACTTTAAGGCAGTAAAATTTTCTAGAATATTCTAACGAGATATGGGATGCTGTCGTCATCGCACGTAACGCAACTCGCTCACTTTATCACATAAGACACACCGGTTGGACGGAGCTTGCGCCTCCTTTGCATGCTTTTAGTTAGAGTGAAACGAAGAAACACCGCCCGATTCTGCTTGCCGGGTGACTGTAATATCTCCAAACACTCATTTTGGACTGTTAATAAAATTCAGAGCTTACTGAGGAGCTAAACCGGTGCTCCGGAGATAGTGGCTGACCAAGGCGTGTAAATTAAACATGAATTCCAGATGGTTCCATGTTTACCACGGGCGAAAAATTAAATAAAACGGCATAGAAAGTCATTTTAAAACGTGCAGCAGTTTTATAGGGGAAAAACACACATGGATGTAAGTTCAATTGACGGCGGTTCGTCAGAAGCCTCATTCACGTGTATAACCGTGACAACTGAGCCAACAACAGTTAAACAGTGAGGGGGCTCGCCTCGGCGCTTTTTACACCACAAATTCTGAATGAGAAAATATTTATTTTTGCTACTCACGGTGTACATCTGTCGCTGTACTCGTTGGCGACTGTCTCGATTCCTCCGGCTCGAGCTACAGCTACATAGCAGCTTTGAAAGCCCAAGTCAAATCCCACCACTGACATCTTCTGCTGGACGTCTGTCTTCTAGCTTTAAGGCTGCCTAAAGTACAACTCAATCAATTATAATAAATGGTGAGACACTGCTAAAAGTGTGTAAAAGTCACGGGAAGTTACGCTATGTTAAGAATAGCAGATTTTTGGTCATAATCCACACCGCTGTGACCGGTGTCTCGGATCTAAACTGGCAGGCTGCAGTAGCAAGGTGGTCTTATTGACTTCTCGCGGTATCTACGCAAAATATCGCGGGATTCCATTGTTCCAGATATCTCTGGACCTTTCGATAACCATGTGAGTGTCTTCGAGATTTTTGGAGAGAAGTCCTGAGTTTTCTGCTGCCTTTTTTTATTTTTGTTTTTAAAGATATTGTCAGAAGGAATAATACGAGGACTTTAATTTAGTTTAGCGATCAAACTAATGTCTTAAACAGAAATATACTGTGAATAATTTGTGTAATTATGTTACAATAAAAAAAATCATGTTGTACAGATATTAATGATAATAATTGCAATTAAGTTTTGAATAATTGCCCAGCAATAATACATATGAAATATACATTTCTAGCACAATCTGAAAAATGTTAACTTTTTTATACTAATCATTGATGATTCTAAACGTCTGGATATTGGTGTAAAACTTCCAAATACTTACTTATACCAAAAAGCAAACAGTATAATTAAAATTTTACTTTTTGATGTGGAAAAAGACAGGGGACAAGGTATACACACGTTTAACATGGGTGGGTAAATGACGGTTAAGTGGTGGGAGGCACAGACATATATAGACGAATATATGTCAATGGTGGGAAGTACACTATGTTGGTGATGCAAACCAAATACTCAGCCTCATATTCTAAGCGGCACAGTTGGAATTTTTAAAAAAGGGATCCATTCTCATGTTTTTTTCCCATGTGCTAAACAATTGTAAAGTAAGAGAAAAATAATAAAACTGCTTTAAAAAAACAATTTTGCACACAACTGACGTGAACAAAGCAATTCCACACCAGTCCGATTGGAGGCAGTAGAGGGCGTCTTAAGCTGGTGTGCCGACGAGAAGATAATAGAAGAAAAAGAGGATCATGGCGACTCCCATGCATAGAATAATAGCCAGAAGACAAGCGTGAGTATAATTTCATTAACTCACTTTAACGATGTTATATTTTTGTTATCCAAACGTAGCTCTTCTCTAAAAGTAGAACGGAGGTTTGCTTATCGAGGCCGTCTCACAAGCAGCGAGTTGAAAACGGCCGGAGCACTGATGAGATCGCTCCGCGGACTGTACAACACTTATTGTGTGCTGTTTCGCCTAGCAATTGTACTTTTTGGCCGGCGAAATTGAGTTCAAATTGGGCAGTCAGTTCGGTAAACATGGTTTTGTTAAATATTGTGGGTGAGTTAGAACTTAAAACTCCCCTCCATTAACATGCAAAAGTTAAAACTGGAAGGCTAAACACGGGTAATTTCTTTCCAGGCCGAATTTCCAGGTATATACTTAACAGACGGACTCGAATAACAAGAGATCACTTTTTTTTTTTTTTTTAAAGCAATGGAAATTTTCTTGTAATCTCTATTAGTTTCTTTGGAGCAGTATACATCAACACACAGGGGTGAAAGCTTTCCAGTACTAGTTCTTGGTCGTCCTTTCAGAGTTGTTTCAGGATGGGATGAAAACCCCTTTAAATAAATGCACTTGCTGGTGAATGATTGTTTAAATATAGCAAACATCCATAAGCTCTGATGAAGCTTACTATTCCACAAACACCCTCTCAGCTCTCAATGTGGTTGCTCTTCAAGTGACTCTGATCTGGCAATAAGAAATTGTTTTTGCTTCTACACTCAAGCTGCAAGCTTCATCATTTGAAGGCTCTGTGCTCTTTATTTTTTTGTTTATCTGATCTACAGGGAGGCAAATAAACAGAATGTGCGTTGCCAGAAGTGTTTGGAGATGGGGCACTGGACCTACGAGTGCACAGGGAAGCGGAAATATGTCCACAGACCATCCAGAACAGTGGAGATGAAAAAGAAGTTGAAGGAGATCGAGAGCAAACCCCTCAGCATTACAGGGTAAGCTTTCTGCATGATTCCAAATTCAGGGCAGGGCACACTTCCATCATCATTCCCTAGACATTTCTGTATCAAGCACCCACAGACCAAGGGGCAAATTTTTTTAAAAACGATCGTCGTCCACTGCAGGTATCGCAAAGCTGGCCATCACACTTTGATTTTCCAACTATGTGCATTGCCAAGGGGTTTAGAAAGACACAGGAGACTGGACTTAAACACTTGTCTTTGAGTCCATAACTTAATTAAACTCATCGGATAAATGACTGTGCTGAGGTGACAAGCCACCTTCTAAAGATTGTATGCCACAGTGTCAAAGGCTGAATGGTTTCCAAAGTCACTTCAGTTCTTAAAAGCTGAGAGGCTTTTTTAAAAAAAATTTTAAGATTGAAGTATTTTAAAGCCTCCTACTAAAAGTTCCATCGGGCTTGAAAAAGGAGAACCCCAAAGCATTTGATGTAGGACTTCCACCACAAATTTTAACGCAGACGGGCTGTTTTGGGGTAAACGATATTTACACTTTTGCCCAAAGCGACCTACAGGGAAAAAAGAAGAAATAACAATTAAGTATATTTTAAACAACAGTTGTTTAAAACTGTTCTGCCTTCGAGGTCTACTTGAAGGCTGAGAGGGGCACCAGAATCAGATGCCAGGTCATTCTACCAACAGGAGGCCACAAATCAAAGTAAAAAAAACAATCAAATGGGCACTAAAACGGGGCTGTCCTTGTTGTCTGCATAAACGACAAAAGAGGATGACTTAGTGAAACAGATGTTGTTCAGTGAGGTGTCCTCAAAGTATGAGACCAAAGCAAAGCGAGCTGAATACTACTGGATGAATGACCACTGTTTGTTTGATCTGTTAACAGTTGTGTAGAATGGATTTGTTCACGAATCTAGTATACAAAAATATGTATAAGACAATTCCTATTCAGCCACCGAAATGGGTTAGCCAGCATTTTCTTTTATGCAATCAGACTAAATCTGATCCCTCACCTCAGAGGAGCTTGTGTTAAAAGTGTTGATTCTAGCCTCATGTTTGATAGAGTTAACCAATAAAAAATTGGTGTTATGATCTGCTCCACTGAAGTGTTAAATTAGCTTTTTGTTTGATTGTATTTTTCTTGCTTCACAGACCAGAAAGAGAAGGATCCAGTGAGAAGAAAATGAAAAAGAAGTAAGTAAAGCATCAATACCAGAATGCTGAGTGAGTTAGATTTTGTGGGTTTGGGTCGTCACACTGTGAGGGGTCCTCAGTGTTGGGGCGATATGTCCGTCTCCAAGTTGATGAGCTCTTTCACAGCATCACTTCACTTTTTTCTGAACATTTTGGATGAAAACGCGAGGCAACATTGCCCTCTGGTGGAGAATCCGTGGTACTGCAATGATGACAGTTTCTGCACCTGTTTGTAAAAATTCCATAGACTTTCTTTTGTGTCCGTTTTTAGAAAATTATTCTAATTCTCAAAAAAACAAAACAGCATTATTAAAGTGTTGGTATGTTAATTTAACTTTATCATTATAGTACTCATACAAAAGCAGGGCAGGTGCTTTAAATAATAAAATCAACCCCCCACCCCTAAACATGTCAAACTCTGACCCTCTGTTTCCTTAACTGAAACATTATTATAAAAAAAAACTGGAGATAAAGCATCTGTATCTAAAGATAAACATCTGGTTTGATGCTGAGGTGAGGAAAGACTATCTCGGGGATCTGTCCACACAAGGCGACCCATCCTACAAATGACCCCACACACACACACACACACACACACACACGCAGAACCAGCACAGTGCAGGATCCCCCAGCCACCCTGACCGGGGCGATCCCCATAGCAACGACCCCACGCCCCGAGTGGGCGTAGTCCCCAGTGTGGGAGATCCATCTTTATTCTCAGAACTTCAAATCCTTTATCTCCTGGGATTATCTCTCCAAATGGGAATGTTTTATCTGATCCACCCCTTTCCGGAAGTTCATTTTCTAAATACATGGACTCTGTGCAGTAGTTTTTGTTTTTTAGTTGGACAGCTGTCCACCTGCTGCCTTATAAGTCAGTCTCTCAGCTAAAACCTGTCCATATGCACGTAGATTGTCTTCTGTCTTCTTTTTTTGTTTCATTCTCTTCCTTTTTCTTTGGGGAAATGTTCTCGAACCGTTAATGTTGGGAAGGGTTAGCCCGAAGAAAGCTAACAAGCCGCTGTTTGTGCCGTCGGCGTGACAACAACGGGAACGTGGCCATTAAAGAGGCGTTGGCCATTTCTGCGCACTCGCTACGGGTCTGATCTTTTTTTAGTCGGGATTAGTCAAGTGACTCGTAAATCACAGGCCGGCGGCTGTAAGAGTATCCATGTAGATCGTGTAGACTTGTTTGCATTGCCCGTAGTTTGGCCCCTCAGTTTGAATCAAACAGCCACACAAAGCTGCTTTTGTGGTACCCCAGACGTGGCGTTACGCAGTTTCGACGGGCCGCGGGGCACAGTTTGTTGTCATTCGTGTGGCGCTCCTCACCTCTCCGCCTCTGCCCCCCCCCCCCCCCCTCAGGGCAAAGGACTCCAGCGACAGCAGCAACGACTCGGACGGCTCCTCCAGCGACTCCTCCTCGGACAGCAGCGACTCGTCCAGCTCCTCCTCAGACGACAGCGACAGCAGCAGCGACAGCGACGAGGACAGCTCCTCCTCTTCCTCGTCCTCCTCATCCTCGGACAGCTCCGAGTCCGCCAGCAGCAGCGACTCGGACCAAGGGCCGCCGAGGAAAAAGAAGAAGAAGAAATGAGCCAGTTGGATTTAGGTTTTGTTATTTTTTTGTTAGCTGTTTTAATGGATAAACTTTTTATAAGACTAAAATTAGACAAAACAGCATCTGATTTTTGAGTTGTCATGTTCTGCTTATGATACGTTTGTTTTTCTTCTGCCTGCTACTGGGATATTGTTCACGTTGTTATTTCTAAGAGAATAAAGCTAGCATAATATACCTAAACCCGTCACAACATACTGAGATCCCTTAAATCAATTTGATATTTTGTACTCAAATCAGTTCAGTTTACAGCCTTTGTAAAAGATTGTCAAATCTAGAAAAGTATGTAACCTTATAAAGGATGAATAAAAAAGTCTTCTTGGAATGGCTTGATAATAAAAAAACTTGTGTTTTCTTGGTTTATAGCTGTGTCTCTTTGTGAAATAAAATATAATTTTAAAGGATATGCATGAATTTTAACACAAAATGATGAATGCTAAAGTTTTTGGTGAGTAGTTGGTGCAGAATGCCAGCAAAGGCTTTGTTGAACTGCAAGGCAAAGGTTTTGATCATGCTGAAGTAAGCTTTTCATT